GTGTTTTGTTGTGAGCTTACCTAGGTAATGTCCATGAGCAGCCAAACAATCAGGGAAGCCTCCTTAAGACCAAATTTCAATCCTTCAAACACCAATTAGAACCATGATAATAAAAAGCAGTAATAAAACTGGAGAATTGTGATTGTCAGCTGTCTGTGTGTGAATTCCTCTACAGCTTGACAAAAAGAATCGAGCCAAAATCACTGACTTGGGGTTCTGCAAACCAGAAGCCATGATGTCTGGCAGTATTGTAGGCACACCTATTCATATGGCTCCCGAACTTTTTACAGGTATGCTTGCTGACTGAATCCACTGCTGTCTCTCTCTGGCTTGAATTTTGAAAGCAGTTATGCTAAACTAATCTATCAACTTTCTCATGTAGGGAAAAATAATAAATTAAAAAAAAAAATCAGAGGACTGCATGCATTGTATGTGTTGGTTTTTGTGCATCTCAAATCTTTGCTTACATGAAAGAGGAGAAAACTGTTTGATTCAGAAGCTTTACTGAAATGGCTAAAACTCGTGTAATTTGAAAGTGAAGTTGCATTTAATTTGGAGAATATTATTCAGGTGGTTCTCACTACTAACACTGAAGTAGTTGTTTGCCCTGCTGATGAAATATATTTTTGTCACAGGAAAATATGATAACTCAGTGGATGTTTATGCATTTGGCATTCTGTTTTGGTACATTTGTTCGGGACACGTGAAGTTGCCAGAGGCTTTTGAGAGATGTGCAAGCAAAGATCACCTTTGGAACAACGTTAGAAGAGGTATGAATGGCTTATGTTGAACTCTGGGTGATGCTTTGTGCTTATGTAAAATTTGACAGATGAGGAAATAATTTTTCTCCTCTTGTAACTGAAAGGTAAGAATGCAAGTTGTGTTGTCACTGACTGCTTAAAGACTGACATTTGTCTAATTAAACTTGGACATATTCTATTGAAAATCTAACAGAAATCAGCAGGGATAAAATGAACAGTTTTTCAGTTAGCTCCTGTGACACTGTGGCAAGAAGGTGGTTGTGCTAACTAACAAACCATGTAAACCCTGTACAATATTTATGATGTAAGCTGGATGCCAGAATTTGCCAACCACAGCATGATCCCTTAAAGAATGCTTAATCTCTTGCAATTTCAGGAAGCTTTGGTGATCTGTACATTCACATGTTGAATATGCAGCATGCTGGGAAAACTGTCGTAGGGTTGGATGTTACGTGAAAGATTAGCAGTTGTTCCCCAAAATCTAAACTTACTCTCCCTTATGCCTCTGTAAGTTTAGCACAAAACTGTATTTTGTGGTAGCTTTGCCCTTAATGCTGCATCACAGGATCAGGATGTTGTACTACTTTGTGTCCTGAGTTGCTGTCCATATAATCTCTGCCCTTCTCATGTGAAAAAGATTAATTCAGATGAGTGAGTTTTGTATTTGGTCAAAAGGCTACACTCACTGCTGCTTCTCAAGAACTTGCTCCCCAAAATACCATCAAGAGTGTATTTGGGATCAACGGGAAGGACAAATTTCTTTTTATTGGGGAGAGCGCTCATTTTGCTCCCAAATAATCACAAAGAGGAGGCTGCAGTGAAATCAAACACATTGGCCATCCTCTGGAAGGGTGTGGGCTCCTCACTGACTTCAGCAATGCTCCCAGAGCTGACTCAGGAGTCTTGCTGCAATGTTAACCTTTATCAGTAGCATTATACTCTAAACAGTCTGCTTTGATCACTTCAACCTGCACCAAAGTAATGGACATCAGACAGAGGTGCTGTCCTATGTGATGGTGACTGGGGGTCCCTTTCTGTTTCCCAGGAGTTCGCCCAGAGCGCCTTCCTGTGTTTGATGAGGAATGCTGGCAGCTGATGGAAGCCTGTTGGGATGGAGATTCCTCCCAGCGCCCTCTCTTGGGGATTGTCCAACCTATGCTGCAGGGGATCATGGACAGGCTCTGCAAGTCAAGCTCTGAGCACCCAAATAAAGGATTGGATGACTCTACTTGAAAAGGAAGCACAGAAGGATTTTTAATTGTGGGAGAATTCCGAACCCCAACTCTGCAGATGGCTTCTTCAGATGCAGCTCTTTGTGGCTAACATGAGTGGGACAGGTAATAGCAACCAGAAGATTCCTCGTAGAGGTGAGACCTTGGAGATGTTCCATCTCGAGCAGCAGCCAGAGACATCTCCCCAGCACACCCCATTGATGCTAGTTTCCCTGCTGCAGCTTTTATTATGGAGTTGTGCGAGTACGATGGAAAAAAAAAATCCACTCCCCTGAACTGAAAGGGATTTTTTGCCAATCCCACGCAAACACCAATCAAACAAAAGCATCTTGTGTGTTTGGGTAGCATCTGTGTTGCTAGGAATTGATCGTGACAGTCTTTACTGAGTAAAGTAACAGCTCTCTTCCCATGAACTGATGGTCCTTGGTGGCCTTCAGTCCACACATAACTCTATCCCAATCACTTAGAGATTGGCACCAATTACAGTGCGGTCAGAGGAAAGAGAAAGTAGAGGCTTTAGGCTAGAAGGTGTTTAGAAGCTAAGAGGATCTGTATCTGTATTAGCTTCGTGCAACACTCCAAATGTTTACATTGACAGGAGCAAAGCTTCCATGTTTTACCTAAGGGGGATTATCTACTGTTCCACTGCAGTTAAAAGACCCCAAGTTATAAGCTATTTATCTCTTATGTACCCTTCACCTCTTAGTTCTGTAAACAAACTCTTTTCTGGTAGTTTTGGTACATAATAGTTGTCTGAATGTCTGAAGAAACCTGACCTTTTTTTCCACAGTCTTCTGGTAAAATAGAAGACTGCTCAGATTACAGCACAGAATCTTAGTCATTACATCTAATGACTGTCCGTGGGGAAAATGCCAATTCATTTTAATTACATTTGGGGTTTGAATTAGTTGTGATGGCAAAGACAGTTTTAAATTGTACTAACTATGACAGACTTTTTTTTTAAAAAAAAAGGTTTCTTCAGCTTTTATATAATTTCACGTGCTTGGTTAGAACATAGTCAAGGGAAAACAGGTCATGCACTCTTCCTCAGTAGCTTTTGTGTGTCCATTCATCTGATTGCTTCACTCTGGGATCTCTAATTTGGCTCTGGTGCCCTCATGAAGTGGGTTACTCTCGAATGTTCTTGCCCTGTGTCTTTTGCATTTCTGGGCAGCAAACCTGTGGGGTGGAGGCTGAGATAGAAACTGCACCTTGTTTACTACGTGAGGAAATAGAGTGGACAAGTTCTCACTAAGTTTCCAGTTCTTCCCAGCTGTAGGGGATGGGCACCCAATGGCTTTGTTTCCCAGGGAAGCTGGCATAGTGCATCCAGAACTGTAGGCACGTGGAATTACTGCACCTTGTTGCTGGAATTTATTGGCTAGTACGTAACAAAATTACAACTGATAATCTGCCTGTTAAACAGCTTGAGCAAAGGAAAGGGATACGTAATCCTGCAGTAGTAGTTTAGTTTAACTCTTTCCTTCTTTGTGCAATAGACAGACTTAATGCTTTTTTATATTAAACTTTTTTTTTTTACTTGCCTGCACATATTATAAGCATTTTCCAGTCTGTGATGGCATTAACAATGTGGCTCTATACAGACACATCTATGGCTGCTCCAGCTGAAGGTGCAGCAGCCAAAACTGCATCTGCAGAAGAACAAACGCTTTTCCAAAGTAGAATTGCTGGGCATCACCCTGCCCTGGTGCACGTTCATGCCACCCATGACACTAATAGTATTAACTCCTTTACTGTGTGTGGTGGTTATAACCTTATTTAAAACAAGGAGAGTCAAGGTCAGTCTCTTGCAATTAATAGATATAACTTGTGTAAATAAATGTATGAATAAAACTTAAATCTCTGTATATGCAATTCCAGAAACTTCTTGTATAGCTTTCCCCACGCAGCCATTCCCAGACACTCCTCAGCTGCCTTTTCCTTGTACTTTGCAGCTACTTTGTCTTGTTTCCATTTAGTATGTTTTCTTGCATGTGCAGCATCACAGCTCAGCAGGTTTTCCCAAACTTTGCACTGCTTTTTCTGCACTTTTTCCCATTGACTATAATGTTCTTCCCGAGAGGAGAGCTTTCACATAGTTAATCTTTAAAATGTCTTTTTCCCCCCTCTCTTTTTTTAAGAATAAGGTGACCAAGACTAATAGGAACTGTATTAAAAGATCCTGCTACCTGTAACCACTGCCACCTGTGTGGGATGGCATGCTCAGACCAAGAATTGCCATCCTACACCACAACACCTCTCCTGGAGCTCTGTCCTGCTCCAAGGGGAGCTCAGCTGTAGGATTTTAGATGCAAGCTTTCTTTGCACAGGTCAGGGAGGAGTTTACGTGCTCGTAGGGACCCATAGGAAGCAGCAGTAGAGCTGCAAGGTGCGAGAACACAGTGCCAGGTGCTGAGCCTTGCTCTGCCAGCACTCAGCCTTCACTTGCAAACACTACGGAGGAAAAAGAGCTGGGAGCAAAGGCTGAGGACGGCACAGGGCTGAATGGCCAAAGCCCTTCATTCAAAGGGTTCCTCCTGACACTAAAGGGCTGCGAATCTGCTCCCTCCCAGCCCACGTTACGGAAAGCCCGTGGCCTTCAGCTCTGAACAGCAAGCAAATAGGAACTGTTGTAGTCCCCGTGTATTTTGTATCGCTTTTCTATGTTACAGTGCTCTGTTTTATGGCGTTATAACAAAATGTAACGAGCTTCCCAGGCGCCTAAGAGGAAAAAAAAAAAAAAAAAAGTGCAATAACCGGAATCGTCTGCCCTGAATCGTTGTATTTTTACTTTGTTTTTGTACTAACCGTGTTTCCGTGCTCTAAGAGACGCGACCGTGAGTTCAGCCCTCAGCGCCGCTCTCAATAAACCGCTGGGTCCGCAATCTGCCCGTTCCTTTCGCGTCCCGGAACTCCGCGCTGCGGTCGCGGCGTCCGCCCGGACCTTCCGTGTGCGCACGCGCGGGGCTGCCCGCCGCACTGCCTGAACGCCGCCGCGCCGCCCGCCTAAAAAGCACCGAGAGACGGAAAGCTCCGAGCCTCGCCGTTTAGCGTTGGGGCGGGTGTGAGCCGCGTTGTAGCGATCTGCTCGCGGAGCCGGCGGTAGGAAAAGCGAACGGTTCCGTCAGGCGAACGCCGAGGGCATCCCGGCGCCCGGCGAAGGCCCCCGGAGGGGTCCTTGGCTGACGGAGACGGACGGAGCGGGGCGGCGGCCGCGATGAACCTGGAGCTGCTCGGTGGGGCCGGGAGCGGGGCTGGGAGGTGGGCGGTGTGGAACCGGGGCGGCGGCGGGGAGCCGGGTGGGATTGCCGGGCCTCGGGGGCGCGCCTCGCTCAAACGCTGCCTTTGCGTTCCGTTGCAGAGTCCTTCGGCCAGAACTACCCCGAGGTAAGGGATCTCCCGCCCCGCGGGGCTGCCCCGGCCCTCAGCGGCCCTGCGCAGCGCCCTGACCGCCCTCCTTTCATCTCAGGAAGCCGATGGCACGTTGGACTGCATCAGCATGGCTCTGACCTGCACCTTCAACCGCTGGGGCACGCTGCTCGCCGTGGGTTGCAACGACGGCCGAATCGTCATCTGGGATTTCCTCACCAGGGGAATCGCCAAAATCATCAGCGCCCACATCCACCCCGTCTGCTCCCTCTGGTGAGGGAGGGCTTCGTATTTTCTGCCGCTCGGTGTCACACTACCAGCTCAGTCTGCCCTGGGCTCAGCCTGGCCCTGAGCTCCTGCAGGGATGGGGCTCCCACCCTTCTCAGGGCAGCAGTGCCGGACCCTGCTTTTCTAAGTGCTCTTTACATGTACAACAGAGACTTTTTGATCTGGTTCCCATTCTTCTCGGTGGGAGAGATGTTGGCAGGGCTGTTCGGCAGTCGCCCGTTCTAATCTCCTCTTTGAAGCACGAATCTGATTCCAGATGGTGGCCCAGGCTCCTGTTCTGATAGACAGGAACGCCCTTCAGTTTCTGTCTTCTGAATAAAGGACTTCAGCCCAACATCTGACCTAAATCTCTACTCTTAGTTTAACACCCTTCTCCTTTGTCTTGTCTCTTTCAGACTGTGTAAAAAGATGGTCCGTCTTAAGATAATTTCCTTTAAAAGAGTTTGAAAACGTGAAGCACCCATGAAATTTTTGGCTACTAGAGTTCGGGAGTTGGTTTTCAAGCCAACGGTTTCACAGCCGAACTTTAATATGAGACCTGCTAATTTAACACACCAATGTTAGGATTGTTAGTGTGTTAGGATGCTTTTTATGTATTGAAGGAATAGCTTTTACTTGAACTGCCCCTTGTTTCTATAGCTGGAGTCGGGATGGCCACAAACTGGTGAGTGCTTCGACTGATAACATCGTGTCGCAGTGGGATGTGCTGTCTGGGGACTGTGACCAGAGATTCCGATTTCCTTCACCTATCCTGAAAGTTCAGTATCACCCTCGAGACCAGTAAGTCCTGTGAAAAAAATGATGCTCTCCTTTGGGTAGAATTAATGATGATGCAAGTATTTTTCCTGGAGCTTGAAGTGCTTTTTCTAAACCTGGTAGATCTTTTCAGATTGTCTTCTTTATGCACTGAGGGCCCTAACTTGGATTTGTTGTGGCTTTCTGAATGTCCTCTGTGAGTGGGGCCTTACTGTGGATTGCTTGTGGCTCTTTTTATTTTGAAAGGAAGGGAGGGAAGTAAACATGGCAACGATCCTTAGAACTGGGTATAGAAATGCCTTGTTGAGTTTACAAGTTACTGCATGACATAAAGGAGCCTTCAGAAAAAGAAAGGAAATGAAAGCAGACACGGCTTAATGTCATTTTGTAGTGTAAGAGAGAAAGACCAGATGAAAGACTGAATAAAAGATGGTGTTAGTCTACGCTGAGAAAGGCAGAATGACTTTTTTTTCCTACTGCTAAATGTGGAAGCTTCTTTTCCAGAGCAGAAGCTATGAACTGTTCCACTTTTGCTTTGCAGAAACAGAGTTTTGGTTTGTCCCATGAAGTCTGCACCAGTGATGCTGACACTGTCAGACTCCAAACACGTTGTGCTTCCTGTGGATGATGATTCTGATCTCAATGTCGTGGCCTCCTTTGACAGGCGAGGGGAATACATTTATACAGGCAATGCCAAAGGGAAGGTGAGACTGTGGCAAGAGCACTGGATGCTGTAGCTTAGATTACTTTATCAAGATGTGTGATGTTTCTAACTTGTATTCTTTGTTTCATTGTACAAATAAGGCTTCCTGAACGTCTCTTGAATAATTGATGTGTCGTTACGATCGTCTTCGTATTTCATCTTCTAAGATCTGTAGCATATAGATCTGAGTTAGGTCTTTGTGTTGCTCTTGTCTTTGACCATATTTGTTGGATCCTTTTCCAGTGTAAATAAACCAATGTTTATGTCGCAGAAGTGTCGCAGAAACTGTAGTAGAAACTGCAGTAGCAGAGTTCCAACTATTCCTGTGTAGATTGCTGAGGCTTCTGTTGTCAGGGTTAGTAGTTATGTGAAAGGTACTAAAAGGGGAGCGAGTAACAACGAGATGCTGATTGCCTTCTGTTTCCTTAATCTTCAGATCTTGGTCTTAAAAACAGACACTCAGGATCTCGTTGCCTCCTTCAGAGTGACAACTGGAACCAGCAACACCACAGCTATTAAATCAATTGAATTTGCTCGGAAGGGAAGGTGAGTTACTATGGACTATACCAGGTTTTACAAGAAAAAAAAGCAACCTCCCACAATTATTTCCCACAACATATTCTGATTCTTTTTACTCTCTTTTTAATACAATGCATGTTCTGTGGCATTCTTCCCACAGCTGCTTTTTAATAAACACAGCTGACCGGATAATCAGGGTGTATGATGGCCGTGAAATTTTAACCTGTGGGCGAGATGGGGAGCCTGAACCAATGCAGAAGCTGCAGGATTTAGTGAACAGGTGAGAGGCAACAGAATGGATGGTCAGCCTGCAGTAGAAAGGTCAACTTGCCTTGAAAACACTGAGGTTTGTGTGTTCTGTACCTGTGGGAGCCTGTGTGAAGGGTAGCTCAGTATCTCATTCAACAAACAAATGTTTTCATTTGAAATGTGTGAATCGCAGTTTGATTTGAAACGTAAACATTATTTGTGGATGGGAAGATGCAGGGTTATGGTCTGAGGAACAGTCCCACAGTCCTCATCCTCGACATTTAACAGTCTTTTATGATTTCTTTTTGCTTTGCTTGCAGGACACCGTGGAAGAAGTGTTGTTTCTCTGGTGATGGTGAATATATAGTGGCAGGTTCTGCACGTCAGCATGCTCTCTACATTTGGGAGAAGAGTATTGGAAACCTGGTGAAAATCCTCCATGGGACCCGAGGAGAGCTGCTCTTGGATGTAGCAGTAAGAACACTGCCAGCTATCGTTAAGTTTCTTGTTTAGAAATCTAAGCTTTCTTAATTCCATTTACCAGTTAAGCTCCTCCTCTTTTCTCTTTCATATAAACCCAGTGGCATCCTGTCCGACCAATCATAGCTTCAATTTCCAGTGGTGTCGTGTCAATATGGGCTCAGAATCAAGTGGTAGGTGTTTTACATTGCTTCTTTAAGAGGTTTTCCTGGTGGTCTCCATCCATACTAGTCCTAGCAGCCTGAATTATTGCATGTTGAAATCTTTTATTAAACCCAACTCAGCAAACTCTCTAGCCTCACCTGCCTAACTTGAAAGATGTTTGCCATCTTGTTGAATGTGAGTAGGGTACTTATAGCTCACCTGCTGAGCTAGTTAAGCTTTGTGTAAAGTGCTAAATATGATCTTGGGGTTGTTTGATGGGGGAATGGTGTCATTCTGAACGTGTAGCTGAAGCACTGAAAATCAGAGTGAGCCAAAACTAAATATAAATAAAAGCTAAATATGAATACATCCTTGGTTTTAGAGTTAATGGCATACTTTGTAATATTTAAGGAGTATTGTAATGTCAGATTTTCAGTAGGAACTCATTTGTGCAGATTCTAATTTGCCCTGTGATTGTATAGCTGATTGAGGCTTGATTTCTTGCTCATGGCTTGGGAGATTTTCATACAGAATAAGATTGGAATTGCATGAATCCCCAGTTTGGCAGCTGGTCCTTCACACTGAGGTAAATCTCATCTTGAATTTGTGACTTAGGAAAACTGGAGTGCCTTTGCACCTGATTTCAAAGAGCTGGATGAAAATGTAGAATATGAAGAGAGAGAGTCAGAGTTTGACATTGAAGATGAAGATAAGAGTGAACCAGAACAGACAGGTACTGTAAATCTCTTTGTTGTGTAGTTGGCCTTTCAGGTGTTACCAAATAATTGTTAGTCCAAATATATGGCCATAATAAAAATTAAAACTGGCAGCTGTGGGGATGTGAGCGGTGAATTTGGATCAGTAGTGGCACAGTTTGGCCACTTGGTGGTGCCAAAAAATTGTGCATGGAAAAGGCTGTAGTTACTGTAGAGAGAATTCAGATTTCTTCCTGGTAAGGCATAGAGCTCTCCTCATTTTCAGGCTTATTTAGATTACTTTTGTGTTAAAATGTAGCATTGGTTTGTAGGAACAAAGCATTAAAACAACTTCTGTCCAAGAACTCTCAGTGAGAACAGTGCAGCAGCTGAAATTAAAAACAAAAACCTGATAGCTGTAAGGGGAAATGCCTCACATATGCTGTGTGCTGCAGTTCTCATCCCTGCATGCTTAGACATTTAAGAGCAGTTCCATTCTTTCTGAACAATTTGCTTTTTTCCTTTCTTTCGTTAATTCTTCATTTCTCCCTGCTTTTCAGGTGCTGATGCTGCAGAAGATGAAGAAGTGGATGTAACGAGTGTGGATCCCATTGCTGCTTTTTGTAGCAGGTAAAAGAATAACTTTGTTTAAAGTGTGAATACATATCACTGACGTTCCCCCAAAGCAGCTCCCTCTGTACACTCAGATTTTTTGTGTCTCCGCTGTAGCAGGTAGAAAGAGTTACTTGTGTAAAAAACCATTGGCAGAGGATAGGGTCAGGGTTTATAAGTGGAAAAAAAAACCAAGATATTAAAGACTTCTAGTTTTAAAAGAGATCATAACTTTTTATTTTACAGTGATGAAGAACTGGAGGACTCCAAGGCTCTACTTTACTTACCCATTGCTCCTGAAGTAGAGGATCCAGAAGAAAACCCCTATGGGCCTCCACCTGATGCTGTTCAGAGTTCCTTAACTGATGAGGGTATAGGATCTGAGAAGAAGAGGCAGTCATCCTCTGATGGACCTCAGGCACCAAAGAAGAAGCCCAAAACCACCAACATAGAGCTACAAGGAGTACCTAATGACGGTGTGTAAAAGCTGCCATTGATTTAGCACCAGTTCTGCATTTGAGATGTTTTTTTTTAGCTTTGCTTAGTCACAGAATCACAGAATTGCCAGGGTTGGAAGGGACCTCAAGGATCATGAATTTCCAATCCCCCTGCCACATGCAAGGCCACCAACTTTCCCACCTAATGCTAGACCAGGCTGCCCAGGGCCCCATCTAATCTGGCCTTGAACACCTCCAGGGATGGGGCATCCACAGCCTCTCTGGGCAGCTGTTCCAGCACCTCACCACTCTCTCTGTAAAGAATTTCCCCCTGATGTCCAACCTAAATCTCCCCTCCCTCAACTTCAAACCATTTCCCCTTGTCCTGCTGTCACTCACCCTTTCAAAGAGTTGATTCCCCTCCTGTTTGTAGGCTCCCTTTAGGTACTGAAAGGCTGCAATGAGGTCACCCTGCAACCTTCTTTTCTCCAGGCTGATCAAGCCCAGCTCCTTCAGCCTGTCCTCATAGTCCAAAGACAAGACGTACAGAAGTTTCTATGAAGTTACTTATTGTAACAGTTATTAATGGCCGCCCACTCTGCAAAGTTTGCTGGCGTTTTGCAGACTAGAAATGAGGGCAGACATCTCAAAGCTGTAATTTTCAATGCTGTTTGTATTTAACACCTCATTTAAGCACCCTGAGGGATAACTCAGTCTGGTAACACCTTGTTTTCCTACAGAAGTCCATCCGCTGCTGGGTGTGAAGGGAGATGGTAAATCCAAGAAGAAGCAAGCAGGCAGGCCTAAAGGATCAAAAGGTAAAGACAAAGATTCTCCATTTAAACCGAAACTCTACAAAGGGGACAGAGGTGCTTTACCTCTGGAAGGAGCAGCGAAGGGTAAAGTGCAGGCGGAGCTGGGACAGCCTTTGACAGGTAAGGACCCACTGTGAGCGTCGTTGCTTGCTTGGTGGCCTTGCAAAGTCATAGCACTTTATCTTCCCAAATGGCCCTTGCTCACTGGATGTCACTGCTGTCAAGGATAGGCAAACGTTTATATATTTGATTGTTAAAGTGGAAGTGCTTTCAGTATTTATAATAAAAGCAATATCTGTGCATGTGTTGTTGCATATGAAGAGCACATTAGGTTTTAGTAGGGATGGCACTCTGGTTGAAATTGAGCATTTCTTACAGCCTGTTTGATAATTGGAGCCTGGGATAAAATTCAGGAGGTGAATTCTTTAATCCTGGCTATGGAGCAGCCTAAATCAAATTCCAAGAAGTGCAATTGCTGTAAAAAAAAGACAGATTTTGTTGGATCATTTTGTGTTCTTTGCTTTATAACCATGCTTTGTTGGTTACTTACCAGTACAGGACTGTTGCTGTCACCTTTGTTAGGACCCAGACTTTGAATCTCAGACAGGGACTGGCTCTCAGCTGGTGGCAGTGTTTCCCATCTGTCTCATTTACTACTCGAGCTTATTTGGGAAATGCTCATTCAAGTGTAGTAAAGGAAGTACATGTTTGGATTAAATGATGTGCATTCTGTTTGTTTGGTTTTTTTTTTCACTGTAAGTGAGAGCCTGTGGTTGATACAGAAACAGATTCAAAGATGTGATGTAACTGATATCTCAAGTTTTGCATTTCCTTGGACATAGCAGTGCTGTGGATTTTAGACTGCACAGAATTGTTGTGTTTTTTTTTGTTTTTCCCTCCTCCTTCCCTCACTGCTGGTCCTGTGTTACCCCCTGTGTTTTTGCTTACCACTTCTTATGCAGTTGTTATAGTCTGATTTGCTTTTATGAGACCACTGTAGAATTTAATTTGCTAATTGTACTCAGCTTGGGATGTGCATACCTCTACCTGTGAATTTATCACATGGGCAGCATGAAAACAGAATTGGGGTTGAGTTTAGACTCCAAATTCCCTGCTTTCTTTACCCATTGGAGGTTGTAGAGCTCTTTCAAATGTAGTTTGTAGCATGTAAGGGTGTTTTGCCACCATGGTGGTATTCAGCTTGATTGAGCTAGATGCAAATAATGTTGCTTTGATGGAGTCCTGTCTCAGTTATTGTGCTCCCTTACATAGTGCTGCTGATTTAAAAGGATCTAACAGATCCATGCAGTAGATCCCACCACTTAGTGTTGGAAATGTCTATGTGAGTCACACAGTGAGTCACAGACTGCCCACTGAAGGAGCTGTCCCTTGGCTCTCAGCACTCACAACAGTCTTCTAGTCCATGAAATTCACGTCTCTCTTTTGTTCTCTTTATGACTTGCAATGTCTATTTTGAACAGCCAGTTCTCCCTTGGGCCCACCCACGTGCAGATTGCAATGGCCTTCTGCCTGCACTGCTGGAGCTGGGCACACTTCTCTGTCTCTCTTGCATGAAGCTGTTAGCTCTGTTTGTTCCACGTGCTGCTGCTTCCTGCAGGAGCCCATCACTCACTCACACAGCCTCTCCACAAGCATTTATTCTCTGGGAGCTGCAGGCTGATTTGCTGTTACAGTGGACGTTTGGGAGCTGCTTGGCTGGGGCCTGGCAGCCAATATCATGTTGTCAAAGCAGCTGTGTCAAAATTGGCTTTCAGTAAAAACAAACTGGGAAGCTTGATCTGTTGTACAGCTTTAGAACAAAGCCATGCAGCAGTCTTGTTTGACCTCAGTGTAGGTGGAAACTTGTTCCTTTCTGTTATGCTTCTGCTTTGAGGTTTTGGGGTTGGTGCATCCATTTTCCAGCAGGTAAGTGTGCTTGTGCCTCTGTGGGGTAAAAGCTCAGAAACCATGAACTGCCTCATCCGTGCTTGTGGTCTCAGATACAGAGTTCTTAATTTGTAGTAGATGGTGCCTTGTTGGTTATATCTCGTTCTGTAAGGAACATAGAGAATCATATTCTCAAAGGCTTTTAGTTTTTTTCATTTATTTCAGAAACTGTCGGAGTCAGATGACTTATTTTTCACCTGTCTTTGATCTCTTTAGCAGGTGGTGCCATCTCAGAACTGTTATGAAGATCCTCTTCTTTATCCTCCTCTGTTCTTTCCCGTATTGGCACCATAACATGGAGAATAGATGAAGCAGTCAGAACGGACTGACTTTAATACAGCAGCCTGATTGTTCATGAATTCAGGGAGTGACTTTTATAAGAAATGAGTATCGAAGAGGAAACGGCCTTCGTTCTTCCTTAATTGCCTCTTGGTTGAGCAGTGTGAGATGCTGACTCTCAGGTCATGCAGTTTGCAAAGAGACTGACTGGACTGCCTTCATGTTGGCACGTGTAATGTTCTGCACTGAGCTGGTACCCGACCCTCTGCCACTCCAGAGCTCATAAGCATTGTCTTTTAAGTAATTTTTTTTGTTCCTGGATTGAAAAATACCCAAAGTGTGTGTTTTTATTCCTGATACCAATGACTGTGTATCCTCCAAACTTCCTTTTCTTTGCTGTTAATTCCCATTTTCAGTGAGTTGTGGGCCTTTCTGTGCCAGCTGCATTGCCTTGCAGCTTTGGTTAGCTCTGTGTGATGTCTTCTATGCTGACATGCTTAGTGAAACTGCTGCTGATTATGTGCCAGGTTTGATTTCATCTCAAGTGGATAGAGACCTAATGTGAAGAATCAAGACACCCTCTGAAGTCTGCAAAGAATGAATTTTCATGTTGTTAATATTTTAGACACGAAGGATGACTCTGCTGATGGGAAGAGGAGCACATGGAGGTAGCTCTATATAAAATACAGTCTAGACAGAAGTGTATAAACTGAGTGGTATGAAGAGCAGTGTTGGCAGTGTCTCTCCTTGCAAGTGTGTTTATTCTTTTTCCATTTAAGATGCCCCACCAGGAATGCTGTTTCCTCCTTAGCTGCTATATACTGGTACTTAGAGAAGCAACAGCCAATATTTCTCCTAACTGAAACTGTATTTTTTTCAGCTACGCTTCCAGGACTTAAAGATGAAATGAATAACGGTGTGATTGTAAAAGACAAACATATGGACCATGAATTTTTAAAAATGCCCTTTTTTTTTTTTTTTTCCCTCTTTTCTATTTCTGAATCAAGAATAGAAGGTGAATGCTCACAGCTTATTTCCAGCTGTGCTTTAACCTTTCACTTGTAATATTTTCCTTGTGGGAATGGGGTAGAGACACTTCTCTCTATCTGGTATCTGCATCCAGATCTTTCTGTACCAGACTTAGTTTTCATTCCCAATGCCCTTTGTTTTGTAGAGACTTCCTACACAATTACCTTCAGGTTTTCCCCAGGTGTAATTATTGAGGTTATCACCAACTATTTAGATTTCCAAAGCATCCTGCAGACATTAAAAGCTGAGGAGTCATAAGGAGAGGTGTTAATTTACAGTGGGAAGCATGCAGTGGTTACATGATACATAAGCATGGCAAGAGAGGAGACGTGTTAAATCAGAAGGATTTTACAAACTGGTATTTTCATTTCCCGCTTTGGTACAGTGATCTGCTTAATGCCATTTGTTCCCACGTGTGCAGCATTGGTTTTCTTTGTTCTTTCTGCTCGTAGGATGGCTTGCATCTCCTGTGGAAAACTGTTTTGTCAAACCTGCCCATACGTGGCGTGGCTGAACGCAAAAGCTTCACAAGATGCACAGGCAATGGCTCTCCTGGTTGTGTTAAAGCGAATCATTTGCCACAGACTCCAGCCTTCATTTTTGTTAAAACCTCTCTGTACAGTCTGTATGTCCTTGGTTTGTTGTCTTCTCTCTTTTATTTTATTACCTGACGTCTGTAGTTTTGTACAATACTGGTCAGATCCTGGCTTGGTGGTAGCATATAGCACTGGTTTAGGTTTGTGTCTGTAAATAAAGAGGTATGTTTTATTTCCTAAAGTCATGGCTAAGTCTTGGCTTTTCCAAACTTCATGATGGTTTCTATTGTGATGCTGCTAAGGAACCCTGCCATACAGCTCTGGTGCAAACATGTGCCTTCACCACAGCCGGTGTGTTACGTTTGGTTTTATTATTATTACTGATTTTTCTGTAGTGTGGCATTTGGTTGGTGGTGTCTTTACTTAAATCCCCCATGGAAGGAATACCTGAGTGCAGTGTAAGGAGATCTGAGAAATGCTGAAAGGGCACTGAACACGAAGAGTGCTGGGTGCAGACAGCATCTCTGCAGGAGCTGACTGTGTTTGTGAACGTTCTCTATCTCAGAAGGCGTTTTGTTTTGTTTTTAATAAATTAAGGGCTGTTAGGAAGAGAAACTTGGATATTCATTAGCAAAGCCAGTGAAGAACGTGGCATTCTAAATCCTTTCTGCAATCCATCATTCAGACAATCTGGTTATTGACCTGGTTTGACCATAGCTCTGTTACACCATCAGAAAGAAACAACTTTATCATGGAGAGCTTTTCTCATTGCTTTGTTCTTTTGGGATGCAGTGAGGTTGGTGCTGTTGAATCCCATCTGCATCTGCTTTCCAACCCAGAACCACTGGGTGCCATCAACTCTTGGATAATGATGGATGCCAGTGACACAGCCCTGCTCACCACTGATCTCTGGATGTCAAAATCTTGTTCTCGTCATCTTGGGGGAGGACTTCAGATTTTAGGATAAGCATCTATAGAGCAGAGCCATACAGGTGCTGTGTGTGTCATCATGATTTTTTTGTGCTAAGCAACATTGTTTTAGAGGTTCCAGTAATTAAGATGTATTGTTTTATAGTTTGGTGGGAAGATTAAACTGGAACAGCAGCGTGGAAATTCATCTGAAATAGCATGGAAATGTCAGGGAGTAGAAAGGAGGACTTAATAAATAGTCAAGCAGATCCCAGTTGCTGGGATACAGTGGGTTTAAACGTTCTGCTGCCTGGGAACTGGAGCTCCTCATTGGTGTTCTGACCCACACAGTGATGTTCTGCACCTTCCCTGGCAGTGTTATACTTCAAACCTGCCTAGTTGGTGGCTGCTGGTGAGATTTCTGTTTGAAGATTTACAAGAAGCTGTTTTGACTGCTGAATTTACACAGTGCCACATCCTATGGCTGCCATGAAGACCTTCGGGAACAGCTGCATCCTTGGCATGGTCCTGCCTTGGGTTTTCTGCCTCCCGTTGGGGGCAGCTTCCTTTCCAAAAGTAACCATCCCAGCAGAGCTGCAGTCAGTAGAGGCTCACATTGCAGTGAACGCCACGTCGTGCAGCGTCACCTGCGGGCTGGGCCTCCAAGTGGAGGAAACATGTGAGATCACAGCAGCAGGGGAGAGGAAGAACTGCACCATGCGCCGCTCCCACTGCACCACCACGTGGGGCTGCGGTTTGCAGCACTTCACCATCCCCGTGGGCAAACCCTTGGTGCTCAGCTGCCTGACCTCAGACGTCATCGATTTGGGTGTCAGAGGGTACAGCTGTACGTGGAAGATCGCCCCGGGTCTCATCACCATGAATGATGTTTTGTTTGCACCTTTCAAAAACCCAGGCTTCGCCGTTGCCTTTTCCCCAACCAAGGAATCTGATGCTGGGACGTACCGCTGCGATGTGCGCGTGTTGAAGACGTTCAGGGTCATCAAGAGGATTTACTTTGGGGTCAGGGTGATCCGAAACGACTTGGTGGACCTGGACTTTGTCAAATCTTTGACTCGGGAGCAGAAGCTGGCAGTCAGGAAGGAGGAAGGAATCGAAGCCAACAGCACCCTTGTAGACGTGGAGGAGAAGCTGTACTTTTGGCAAAGAAAATCGTTTCATAGATCCTTGATAGGGATTGGAATCGGGCTGGTAGGAATCATCATGGTGAGCATAGCTCTCCGCTGCTTGCAGGAGAGGTTGAGAAGCAGAGGTGCAGAGAATCAGACTGAGTTCTAATGCAATTTCTTGTCCCTGTCTCGCTTATTGTAACAAGTAGAGCAACATCAGCATTGGTGCACTATTTCAGAATGAGGTTTGTAGTTATTTTCTGGCTGTTGGCTTGGAGAGTTTGGGGTGTTTTTGTTTTGTAGCTCATAACTTGGGATCCTATTTCTCCCTCATCCTCTTGATTTTCTTCTCCCTTGCCCAGGTTTGTGACACAGATCCCTGAGGTTGGTAGCTGGAGCAAAAGAGATGCAGAGAAGTGAAGATGCTGCAGCTGGGTCCCTGCTGGGTCTCTGTGGTCCTTCCCAGCAGACCCCAAGGTCTGTTTTGGGGATCTGGGAGTGCTGGGAGGAGCTGAGCCACCGCTCCCTGCCTGCTCTGATTGTTTGTCTCCCACTTCAGAAAGCTGAAGCATCATCAGCGTTAGTTGGAAGCTTCCACTCTTCCCTTTGTAGTTCAGAACAGCGAGGCAGGGAGCATTAGGCAGCACAAGCACATCTTCAATCCGAGCACTGCAGCTCAAGGAGCGTAACGGGGTGGTTTTAATCACGACTCAGAGCTGAGCTCACTCCTAAAATCTTTAAAGGAGGAGGAGAGGGAAGAGTTCAGTGGGCTTGTGGCTCGCTCGTTTTCCTGGTGACTAATAAGTACAAAGCATGCAGCAGCACTGTAGGGAGCATTGTTTCCCCATTGGTAGCAGAATCCGCAGAGGGACTTATTAAGTGCCTTCTCTCTCTGGTTTCTGTCTTTATTTTACAGTAAACAACTCTATTTACTCGCTCTGTTTCCTTTTTCTTCCCCACGAACTGAAGTACAGGAATGCACCACACATCCAATTCCGGAGAAAGTAATGATGGAGCTCTACTATTTAAGATCAAAGCATACTATTATTTTTTTTTCTTCAGACCAGAAAAATAATGCTTTAATGTAGAAAGAGCTGAATATACAAGGAGGCACTTTATTTGCAGAACATCCTATTGAAAAAAACAACATCAGACCAAAACGTAGTGAGCTGAATCTTCATGTCCAATTAAGTGGGTAATGGGTACATCTGGATAATGATCTGTAGGCCGTGGGGTTGTCTGTATTTGAGTGAGGAATCGAGCCTGTTACCAGCCTTGGATTCTCTGTGGGTTGTTTGCTGGTTTCTGAGGGAAGAATTCAGCGTTCACAGCCATGGGCAGAGGTTGGTGGAGGTGAAGGGGGCTGTCCTGCAGTGCTGGAAGGTTCCTCTGGGTGTGCATTGGTTGTCTGGCTCCATGCTTTGCACTGATTTACTGCTGAGCTCCCCTGTTGAGCCCTGCTTTAGGCTAACTGTTCTTAACAACAGATTTCTCATCGACTGAAATACAGGGCATGCTGCCTCTGGGCATGGTGAGGGGGGTCAGCTCGGCTTTCTGCCCACACTTTCCCCACCCCTGAGCAAAATGCAAGCAGGGGAGACCCAAATCTTGGTTCCCTCTTGTCACCTCATCTTCTCACCCACAGGGAATCTCTTCTTTCCAAGCAGCGGCACTGATACAGAGCAGTGCACACCCACATTTAGGACACCTGGAGGAGCCCACTGGGTGCTGACTGCATTCATCCCACCCAGACCTCTCCTGTCTGTGGCTTTTTTGATGGTGAGTGCCCACATCCTGGGATATGCATGCACCAGACTTTTCAGAGCTCATTTTGCTTCTGAATGTAAAGAAACTGAGCTCTGTATGCTACAGATACGCACCACAGGAGTGAGGAGGCTCCGTTCTGCATGGGGTGAGACCTCCTGGGTCCTGTCTGGGGCTGGAGGACCCTCTGAATAGCAGGAGCAGGCAGATGTTTCCTTGGGAGCTAATGGTTAAAACCCACAAAGAATCAGTCCCATCTGGAGGAGTCCCCTCACACTTTGTAATGCAAATATAGAGCTTGCTTCCCGTGGGCAGCCGGGTTTTAGAAATGCAGAAAGATGACATGAAAGGTCCAGGACCATCCGTTTCCTCAGTGGTGATGAGGAGGTCAAAGCAGGAGCCAAAGGAGTCCTTCATCTTTTGATGATCCTCTCCCTCTTTTCGCCGAGGGGAGGCAGTTGCCTGGAGCAGGGAAGCTGAATATGGGTTTTTTTTTAATGTTTTAAGATGGAAGGCAGTGATGGATAGCGTGGCACCAGCACCAGGAAGGGCAGGACGGGGCCTTTTGCTGCTGTTTGAAATGATGCTTTCCCTGCGTGCTTTGAGTCTGCCTCTTCTCCCCCATGTAACTGTCTGCACTGTAGAAAAAATGTGGGTTTTTTTTGCTGTAAATTTGTGCCTCAGCTTTTTTCTCCTCTATTTCAGCAGTTGTTCCTCCATCTCACCCAGAGGAGAGGGCTGCAGAGGGGCTGCCTGCACACCCCTCCTCACACTGAGGCTTTCTGTGACACAAACTTCTGCAGCCTGCTGCTGGGCCCAGGTATTAGGAAGCAATTAGAATTGCACATGCTAAAGCCAAACAGATTGTGTGAGGGAGGAAGTCAATTTGCTAATGGCATTAGCACTTGGAAAGAAGGAGGCAATAACAGAATGGTGAGGCACAGGCAGCTGTTTAAATTGCTGTTAGCTACTGAAGCTTATCTAAATTGAATAACTAGATTGCCTTAACTGCTGGAATCTGAATGGTAGCTAAGAGGAAAACAACCCCCATATGCTTCTTTTACACCCAGCCTGGCTCTGCCATCCTCTGCACACTGATCTGAGTTAATTCTTTTGCTCGGTCCCACAGTCTGCTGGGGTGCATTGAGCAGTGCAGCTCACAGGCTGTTGCCTTCTTGTTCCCCCTTTCCCAGCATTCTGCCTTTCCTCGCTGCTGCTCTCCCCCCTTTGGCTCATTTGTTACTATCTTGTTTGCTGCAGGCATCCCTTAAACCTCAAGCAGGATAGAGGGAGCGCCTGGAAACGTGGCAATTTTCTTCAATAACCATTGGTTTTGTAGAACAGCTTTCCTAGCCCGGTATTGCAGAGTGTTTTACAACATAATAGTGGATGTGGTTCGGTGGGAGCAACAACTGGGCTTGCAAATGCAGCAACAATG